GTTGTTTTTTCAGATTTTTATTTCACTCGGGCATGGGTGGTTGAGTTCTAGATCAGTATTGTTACTTTCAGTTGAGTCACATCAGGATAATTCCTTTTTACTTTGAGTATGAAACAATGATTTGGATTTTGGTTATGGACAGTTCATACAAAACTAAGTACGGTACTCTCTCAGGCTCAGCGATTGTATCAAATACTCCTTGTCCTTAATCAGATATGTGCTTGTTCCTTGTTTTGTTTGTTTTATTGGGGGGAGTGGGGGGGGTGTTCTGTTTTTCTGCCATGGATTTGTTACATTTTCAGTGTATGCCTAAATTAGTTTTGACCTATGCCTATGACTATGTTCAACAGTTTCACTCTCCATTGTGAATGAAAATAGTCACCTTAGCTTATGCAAAATGCATACTGCCATATCTGTGATGAATATCCTAGAACCAAATGTCTATGACTTAAATCTGATTCTGAATGATAGGACTGAGATATGGACAATTGCTGCTGTACTGACCCAGGGTTGTTTTAATGTATGTTTGTCTTCTTTTTTTTTTTTTTTTCGCCATTTATCTGTCTCCCAATCCCCAGTCGCTTTGTGTAAATTTTTCATCAGTATTGCAATATCACATCCCCATCCCCCCAAACCCAAAACCACATGCGTACACACATTAACACAAAAATTAAAATGTAACGATCTTCTATTAAAACAGACCGTATTTGATACCATAACTCCACCTGACAGATCCGTGTGTCTCCTTGGGTATTTAGAAAGTTTATTTACTCGTCAAAATATTATTTTCTGGAGTTTTTTAACATCAGTTTTTATATAATGCCATATCTGTGATGAATATCCTAGAGCCAAATGTCTATGACTTACATATGATTCTGAATGATAGGACTGAGATATGGCCTTTTGTAGCTGCCCTGACCTAGGGTTTTTTTACCATTTGTTTGTCTTGTGTGTTTCACACATCTAAGCTCAAGCGTGTTGGGTTTGAATTCTACATCAGTCATTTTCCATTAACTTCTTCATGATGAAGTCACGTAAGGAAAAAGTGTTAATTTATTCGCATCAGTTTATAGAGAAAGCCATATCTGTGATGAATATCCTAGAGCCAAATGTCTTATGATTAAATCATGATTCTGAATGATAGGACTGAGATATGGCCTACTTCAGCTGTACTCTAAGAGCTTTTTTGTTTTGGGGGTGGTTTTTTTATGTTGTTCGAAATTGTTATTTCTCTCAGGCATGTTGTTTGAATTCTACATCAGTTTTGTTCCTTTCAGGTCTGTCACATCAGGATAAATCTTTTTTACTTTGAGTATAAAACTTTAATCAGGATTTTTGGTTAAGGACAGCGCATACAAAACAAACTATGGTTTTCTCTCAGGCTGAGCGATTGTGTCCAATACTTTTCTGTTTTTGTTTTTGTCCATGTCTGATGTGTTTGTTCCTTGTTTTGTTTTACTTTATTGGGGGGAGGGGGGTGTTCTGTTTTTATGTCATGGATTTGTTACATTTTCAGCATATGCCTGAATTAGTTTTGACGTATGTCTATGACTATGTTTAAAATTTCACTCACCACTGTGAAGGAGAATAGTCTCCTGAGCTTTTATACAATACAATGCCATATCAGTGATGAATATCTTAGAACCAAATGTCTATGACTTACATCTGATTCTGAATGATAGGACTGAGATATGGCCTATTGTAGCAGTACTGATCAAGGTGTTTTTCTTTAATGTATGTTAGTCTCTATACCTGGTGTGTTTGAATACTTCTCCAGTATTTTTACTTTAAAGTTCAGTCACATAGCGTATTCACTCTTTTGAATATGAAACCTTGTTTGGGATTTTTGCTGAGGACAGTGCATACAAGACAAATCATGTTCCTCTCTCTCGCCTTTTCTTTCTGGCTGATTTATTGTGTCAAATATTTTTTACTTTTCCGCATTAGATCTTTGCATGGTCCTTGGTTTTGGGTTACTTTTTTTTCGAAGGGGGGATTTTGTTTTTGTTGGGCCTTCGCGGAAATGAATTATGAGGTTGGTTTTCAGTGTATTCCTAAATAATTGACCTAGGAATATCTTCTAAAATTTCTATTCCCTTTGTGAATGAAAGTAGTCTCATCAACTTGTACAAAATAATGCCATGTCTGTGATGAATATCCTAGAGCCAAATGTCTTATGATTAACTCATGATTCTGAATGATAGGACTGAGATATGGACAATGGAAGCTGTACTGACCAAGGGCTTCTGTAAAAATGTATGTTGGTCTTTTTTTTTTCTCCTCCTATCTATCTCCCAATCCCAAGACGTAATATTTGAAGTCTACATCATTATGGAAATCTCACCCAACCCAAAACCTCGTGTATACACACATTAACACAAAAATTAAAATGTAACGATCTTCTATTAAAACAGACGGTATTTGATACAATAAATCAACTTGACAGATTTGTGTGTCTCATTTGGTATTTAGAAAGTTTATTTACTCGTCAAAATATTATTTTCAGGAGCGTTTATTAACATCAGTTTATATATATAGGGCCATATCTGTGATGAATATCCTAGAGCCAAATGTCTATGACTTACATCTGATTCTGAATGATAGGACTGAGATATGGCCTATTGTAGCAGTACTGACCCAGGGTGGGTTGTTTTTTTTTACTATCTTTTTTTCTCTATGCTTGTGGTATTTGAATTCATCTCCAGTGTTTTAAGTTTATCACATAGCCTCACTATTTTGAATATGAAACCTTGTTTGGGATTTTTGTTGAGGACAGTGCATACAAGACAAATCATGTTCCTCTTTCTAGCCTTTTCTTTCAAGTTCATTTATTGTGTTTAATACTCTTTATTTGTCCATATTAGATATTATTTTGTTCTTGTTTCCTTGTTTTGTTTTATATTTTTTGGTGTTCGCTTGATAGGGGGGGGGGTGTCTTGTGTTGTGGTGTCGTGAGTTTGTTGTATGAGGTGTTCGGTATTATGTCTTAATTAGTTTTGACCAATGCCTGTCTTCTGAACTTTTACCTCCCGTTGTGAATGAGAGTTGTCGCATCAACTTGTACAAAATAGAGCCATATCTATGATGAATATCCTAGAGCCAAATGTCTATGACTTACATGTGATTCTGAATGATAGGACTGAGATATGGCCTATTGTAGCAGTACTGACCCAGGGTGGGTTTTTTTTTTTTAATGTATGTCTTTTTTTTTCTCTCCACGTATCTGTCTCCCAATCACAAGTTGTTATAATGTTTGAATTCTACATCAGTATTGTTAGTGTCGGTTTAATCACATCAGGGGAAAGCTGTACTGGTTTGAATGTGAAACCTTGTTTATGGTTTTTGTTGAGGACAGTGCATAGGAAGCAAATTATGTTACTCTCTCTCACCTTTTCTTTCGGGATTAGTTATTATATCAAATTCTGTGTTTGTATAATAGATCTTTACATTTGTATAAATTATGGTAATGAGTGTGCACATGTGATTTGTGTGTGTGTGTGTGTGGGAATTTGTTTGCCTCCTTGAGTATATAGAAAGTTTTTGTACTTGCCAAAATATTATTTTCACGAAAGTTTTTACATCAGTTTGCATGTAAAGCCATATCTGTGATGAATATCCTAGAGCCAAATGTCTATGACTTACATCTGATTCTGAATGATAGGACTGAGATATGGCCTATTGTAGCTGTACTGATCTAAAGCCATATCTGTGATGAATATCCTAGAGCCAAATGTCTATGACTTACATCTGATTCTGAATGATAGGACTGAGATATGGCCTATCGTTGCTGTGCTGAACAAAGGTTTTGTGTTATTAACATATTTTTATTTCATTTCACTGAACAACATTGTCTAACGTGAAGCATGTTGTGTTTGGATTCTTTACTCATGTGTTTTTGCTATTAGAAAAGTCCCCCCTGAAAAGGTCTCAATTCTGAGTAGGAAACTATTCTTGGGAAGGACAGTGTTCTCAGGACAAATGTTATCTTGGATTGTTTTTTCTGCTAATGGAGGAGGGGATAGAGGTGGTATTATGTTGGGCCATTGGTTTATGTTATGTTTTTATATTTTAGAAAAGGTTTTAAATACGTGCTTGAACCAGTGTTGAGGGAAAACTTGTCTTTTGTCACTCATTTGTCTTGTAAAACTGTATATCTTCTTGTTTTTTGAAACACTTTCTTCTCACCTCGGCTCATTTATAAAGCCATATCTGTGATGAATATCCTAGAGCCAAATGTCTTTATGACTTACATCTGATTCTGAATGATAGGACTGAGATATGATGTTTTGTACCAGCACCGACTAAAGTCTTTTCTTTTATATGTTTGTTCGTCTTTTCTGTTTCTCTCATCAGTCTTCTAAGCTCAAGCATGTTGGGTTTGAAGTCTATCATTAGAATTCTTTTAAACCATTTAGTAACATTAGGTTTTGGGGTTTTTTTTGTTGAGGACAGGGTGTACAGGACAAATGATGTTACTCTCTCTGGCTTTTCTTTTGGGCTGAATTATTGTGTTAGCTACTGTCTGTTAATTTTAGATCTTTATATTTTTCTTCTGATGATAATGTAGGGGGGGGATTATTGGGAGGTTTGATTTGTTTTACTTGTCAGAAAAGTTTTTACATTAGTTCATATACTAGAAAGCCATATCAGTGATGATTATCCTAGAGCCAAATGTCTTATGATTAAATCATGATTCTGAATGATAGGACTGAGATATGGCCTACCTCAGCTGTTCTGACTAAGAGTTTTTTTTGGGTTTTTTGGGTACAAAATTGTTATTTCACTCAGGCATGGTGTGTTTGGATTCTACATCAGTTTTGTTCCTTTCAGGTCTGTCACATCAGGATAGATCTTTTTTACTTTGAGTATAAAACTTTAATCAAGATTTTTGGTTGAGGACAGCGCATACAAAACAGACTATGGTATTCTCTCAGGCTGAGCGATAAGTACTCTTTGTTTGTCCACATCAGAATGTGCTTCTTCCTTGTTTTGTTTTAGTTTATTGGGGGGGAGGGGTGGGTGTTCTGTTTTTCTGTCATGGATTTGTGACACTTTCAGTATATGCCTTAATTAGTTTTGACGTATGTCTATGACTATGTTAAAAATGTCACTCTCCATTGTGAATGAGAATAGTCCCCTGAGCTTATACAAAATACTGCCATATCTGTGATGAATATCCTAGAGCCAAATGTCTATGACTTACATCTGATTCTGAATGATAGGACTGAGATATGGACAATTGTAGCTGTGCTGAACAAAGGTTTTGTGTTATTAACATATTTTTATTTCATTTCACTGAACAACATTGTCTAACGTGAAGTATGTTGTGTTTGGATTCTTTGCTCATGTGTTTTTGCTATTAGAAAAGTCCCCCCAGAAAAGGTCTCAATTCTGAGTAGGAAACTATTCTTGGGAAGGACAGTGTTCTCAGAACAAATGTTATCTTGGATTGTTTTTTCTGCTAATGGAGGAGGGGATAGAGGTGGTATTATGTTGGGCCATTGGTTTATGTTACGTTTTTATTTTTTAGAAAAGGTTTTAAATACGTGCTTGAACCAGTGTTGAGGGAAAACTTGTCTTTTGTCACTCATTTGTCTTGTAAAACTGTATCTCTTCCTGTTTTTTTAAACACTTTCTTCTCACCTCGGCTCATTTATAAAGCCATATTTGTGATGAATATCCTAGAGCCAAATGTCTTATGACTTACATCTGATTCTGAATGATGGGACTGAGATATGGCTTATTGTAGCTGAATTAACCAAGGGTGTTTTGTGATTTTGTTTTTTGTTGATTTTTTCCCCCCATAGATGTATATTTATCTCTTTCTTTTTTCCCTTATTTTCTTTTGCCTTAAACATATTATTAATGTTACGAGACATGGCTCAGGGTAATTGTGGCACTGGACAAATGAACAAATTATTATACTGCTCTTTCTAGCTTTTCCTATCAGTATTGTTGGGGGGGGGGGGGGCTTGTTTTGTAACTTTATTTAGCTGACACATCTTGTGTGCCTTCTTTTTATGTCCTCCACCGCTTATACAATGAGGTGTGGGGCGGTGCTTATGTCGGGTCTTGTCAGACTCAAAAGTTGGAAAGCGATAAAATGTTGCAGGTTGCGAGTGAGCTGAAGGCTGTTTGTTTGTTGTGTTCCTCAGAAAAATGACTGCCTTGACCACACGTCTTGTCTTAGGCTCCCCAGATAAACGACTGCCTTGACCACACGTCTTGTCTTATGCTCCCCAGATAAACGACTGCCTTGACCACACGTCTTCCCCCGTGGACGGAATCACGCTGTCCGAGTCCATGCACGCCAGGTACGCTCTGATGGGTTGTGCTCTCATTTGTCTGTTTGGTGTAGAACTGATAGTGAAGTGAGCCAGAAATTGTAAGTACGATCATATTGAAGATGATCCTTCAATTGCCAGTTGGCTCATGATTTTAAATTGTATGGCTGAAATTTGGTTCTGCCTTGGAGTTTTTTTAAAGTTTGTACTGGATGGTTTTATTTGATTTTAAGATTAATTTTTTTTAAACATCCAATTAAAAACTTTTTTTTATGTCCTTTTACTGTAAGTGTAAGATGATAGTTATCGGGGCAAAAATTGCTTTTGATAAAACCTCAAATTTTCTCTGATTTCTTTTTCAAATCAAATGACTATGATAACTTGTTTGAGTTTTAGAAGAGCAGTGTAGAAAGTATTGTATTGCCATGTATTCATAATGAATAATGTGTAAACAGCTTGTATATCCATATACAATCTCATCTGAAATCTTACATTTTTTCATTTCTATGTTGTTTGCAGAGGAATCAACATGAGGTACCTGGGCAAAGTGGCAGAGATGCTGGCCAAGTACCCCACCCTGTCATATGTATATGTAAGTACTCACTAGTTGTATATATGTAAGTACTCACTAGTTGTATATATGTAAGTACTCACTAGTTGTATGTATGTAAGTACTCACTAGTTGTATGTATGTAAGTACTCACTAGTTGTATGTATGTAAGTTCTTGCTAATTATATTCTTTCTTTAGAACCTTGTCATTTGTGATTTGCCAGTCTGCTTCCTTACTCTTTGTTTATGTTATAGTAATATTGATTAAATAGTTGCAGCATATTGGTATGCTGACAGACGGATGTTTCTGAATTTACAGAATCTCAGGGCTTTTTTTGTATCTATATAGTTGTAGAAAGTCATGGTCTTATGTTGAAGCTTGTAAGAGGTTTTTTTGTAACTCAAAGTAACTGGGGGGGTTTTTTTCAGATTTTAGTGTCTCCCTCAATGTTTATAAAGATTTGGGAATTTTTTCGGGTCTCGTCGTTCTTTCCTTGGTCTAACCGTATGGAGGTTCAGTAATCCTAAAGCACTTTGCAAAAATAATGCAGTTTTATTGAAAGGTATGATTTGATTTATATGGTTGTTGTGTTTCAGACGATCGCGGTGAGCGAGTTGATCTGCCGGTCGGCCAAGCATCTGTTCAACCATTACATGCAGGGAGTGGACATGATGAACACGGCCGCCGCCATCAGCCATTTCTTCAACTGTTTCCTCGGCTCCTACCCCACCCCTCACCCACAGGTCACAGCGGACGAGGTCAGTTCTGCGGCGGTTTCCTCCACTGTGTGTGTGTGTGTGTGTGTGTATGTATGTGTGTGTGTGTGCAAGAGAGAGTGAGTGTGTGTGAGAGAGAGAGAGAGGATACAGCCAAGTGCTTGTTTACAAATGTTTTCCAATGGTTATTATCCTCTTTGAACTTGTCAGCAAAATTAGTTTACTGTTGGAGCAAATTTTCACTTTTTTTATGGCCAATTTGTCTGAAACAAACTTTTGTCCAGGAGGCTTTCTATCCAACTACAACATCTTGTGGCCCATTTTTTCGACCCAAAAAAGGCCTGCAATACTTATGGAGCCATGTAGTGTAGTCTCAATGTAGTAGAAGTTTGGTTACAAACTTCTTGAGTTTTCTAAAGAAACTTTTCAGATAGTATTGAAAATTGTTTGCCGCATGGTGTTATGTAAAATCTGATGAGTGCATTTGTATGTCTGTATGTATCACATTGTGTGACCTGTGAAAGATATAAGGGGTGATGAGCTTTATTGATATCTCTGTCTCCACAGAGCAAAGCTGCCAAGAGAAAGAGTAAAAGAAAGAACAAGCACAGTGTTGTGTTCAGTATAGGTAAGAGAGACTGTGGTTATTGTCATGTCAGTATAGGTAAGAGAGACTGTGGTTATTGTCATGTCAGTTATAGGTAAGAGAGACTGTGGTTATTGTCATGTCAGTTATAGGTAAGAGAGACTGTGGTTATTGTCATGTCAGTATAGGTAAGAGAGACTGTGGTTATTGTCATGTCAGTATAGGTAAGAGAGACTGTGGTTATTGTGAAGTCAGTTATAGGTAAGAGAGACTGTGGTTATTGTCATGTCAGTTGTAGGTAAGAGAGACTGTGGTTATTGTGAAGTCAGTTGTAGGTAAGAGAGACTGTGGTTATTGTCATGTCAGTATAGGTAAGAGA